GCGGTGGGATTCATTGCAGTGGCTCCAGACTCATAGAAGCACCAGACTTTGTAAAAGAAAGAAGGAAGGGGCCTGGGAAGTGAAACTTTGGATTCTTAGATGGTTACTTTGTTTGCTGTTACCTCTTAAGGGAGATAATTGATCCAGAGGCTAGGGCTTTTGGTTACACCCAGCCAAAAGCCCAAGGCCATATACATAGAATGGCAGTTGGTGTCAGAATGGCATTTGGTGTCAGAAGCGGTGGGATTCATTGCAGTGGCCCCAGTTTTCTCCCTCCCCTGAACACCCACCTCAATCGCCCCATATGCTAATACCCTCTCACAAGCCAAGGGGCTTTGACTATGTGGAGTCCCCTGCTCCAGCACAGATGTTGGCCCCGCCTCAGGATTTCACAGAAACTTTGAGCACAGATTGGCCTCATCAGTTTGCTGCCCCACAACAAGATCCAATTCAGCATCAGAAGATCCCAGTTCTGGTTCCAGTACAAGATTGGGATCAGAGTCAGGCAGTAGCTGTGCCTCCTCGACTCAAAAATAAGGTTAAAACTCCAGATATGAGTAAAGCTGAACATCATCAGACTTTTGAAATACTTGTTCCACCTCTAGATAGTCATAGTTCAAAACCAACTAAGTTTATTGTTTCACCTCCAAACCTGAAAGGGGATCTAGCTCAGCATCGAGCCCTTGCTAAGGTTGTGGTTTGAACTTCAGGTCAATTGCCAAAAATATCTAACCGAGTAGACCAACCTGGGGATGATTATCTCGACCCTAGTTATGATATAATGTATCCTCCAGACAACCCACCTGTAGAATCCTTAGGGAGCCCAGGTCAGCCTGCTGAGCCCCATGGGGAGGGTGAACCTGAACCTACTTTACCTAAGGTGGAAGGCCATGGACCTCCTGAGGAGGAGGCAGCTTCAGTCCAACAAGTGGTCCCTCAAGCAATGAAACCTTACATAGCCCATCAAGAGGCCCCAAATCTGCCTCTAAATCCTTCTACAGAGATGGAGCCATCTCTGCTGCAGGAGGAAAGCCCAGCTGAGACTTTGCAGAGCACTGAAGGGGTTCAACCTCCAGTCATGGAAGAGCCCCGAACTCAGCCTCCAGAGCCGCCTGAGGAGACAGAACCTTCTCCAGTCCAGGAGGCAGCCTCAGGTGAGTCTCAAAAGCCTACTGAAGAAGTTGAATCTGTTACTACCCAGCAGGAGTCCCCAGCACAGCATCCAGAGACCCCTGAGGAGGTTCTGTCTCCTTCAGTCCAGCAGGAATTCCAAGCACAGCATCCAGAGAGCCCTGAGGAGGTTGAAACTTCCATCCAGCAGGGAGCACCAATACAGCCTCCAATGCATCCACAGCAAGTTGAACCTTCTCCCGCCCAGGCGGAGGTCCCAGCTGAGAGTCCAGAGCTTCTCGAGGAGGTTGGACCACCTTCAGGCCTTCAGGAAGCCCCAGTACATCCTCCAAAGCCTCTGGAGGAGGGTGAACCTTCTCCAAGCCAGTCAGAGGCCCCAGCTCAGACTCTCCAGGAGGGTGAACCTTTGCCAGTCCAACCAGAGGGCCCAGCTCCTCCTCCAGAACTCTCTGAAGAAGGGGAACCTCATGCAGTCCAGCCGGAAGCCCCAGCACAGCTTCCCAAGCCTCCCCAGGTTAAACCTTCTCCAACTGAGCAGGAGGCCCCAGCTTTGCCTCCAGAGTCTGCTGAGGGTATTGGGCATTCTTCAGTGCATCAGGAAGTTCAACCACAGCCTCCAAAGCCCTCTGAAATTACTGAGTCTTCTCCAAACCAGCAGGAGGCTCCAGCTGAGCCTCCAGGGCTCCCTGAAGAAAGTAAACCTGCAATGGAGCAGGTCCCACCTCCACCTCCAGAGCTTCCTGAGGAGACTGAACCTCCAGTGCAGCAGGAAGCCCCAACACAGCTACCAAGGCCTCCCCAGGAGTTTGTACCTTCCCCAGTCCAACAGGAGGCACCAGGTTCCACATCCAGAGCTCCCTGAGGAGGGGGAACCTTCTCCAGCCCAGCAAGAAGCCCCAGCACAGCCTCCAAAGCCTCTAGAGGAGGGTGAACCTTCCCCAGTCCAGCAGGAGGTGCCAGCTCTGTTTCCAGTGGTCTCTGAGGAAGGGGAACCTTCGACAATCCAGCAGGAAGCCCCAGCACAGCCTCCAAAGCCTCTAGAGGAGGGTGAACCTTCCCCAGTCCAGCAGGAGGTGCCAGCTCTGTCTCCAGTGGTCTCTGAGGAGGGGGAACCTTTGACAGTCCAGCAGGAAGCCCCACCGCAGCCTCCCTAGGAGGTTAAGCCTTCTCCAACTCAGCAGGAGGCCACAGGATCACCTCCAGAGCCCCTGGAGGAGGTTAACACTTCTCCAGGCCAGCAGGAAACCCACACACAACCTCCAAAACCTCCCCTGGAAGTTCAACCCCAACAGGAGGCTCCCGCACACCCTACAAAGCCATCTGAGGGTCTTGCACCTTCTCTAAGCCAGCAAGATTTCCCTACTGAGCCTTCACAGCCCTCCCAGGAAATCAAACCTTCTCCAAACCAGGAGGCCATGGCTCAGGCTACAAAGCCTGTTGGAGGAGCTGGAGCTGCTCCCGTCCAGCAGGAGGCCACAGCTCCCCCTCTAGCACCTCCTACAGAGGTTACAGCTCCAACTACCACAGGTCACAAGCTTCCTCTGCCAGGTCAGAATCAACCACATCTCTCAAACTTGCCCAGTGTTCCAGTTAAACCGGCTGATCTGCAGCTTACCCTAACTCCAGAACCCTCGAAGAAAGGCCAGTCACGTCCAACCCAACCTAGTCTTCTAGCTCAGCCTCCAGAGACGTCTGAGAAAGACAAACCTTCTCCCACCCAGCAGGAGTCCCCAGTTCAACTACCAAATTCTGAAAATGTTCAGCTTTTTCCAGTTCAACAACCTGAGAAGGTCAGACCTCAAACCCAGCAGGACGACCCAGCTCATCCACCTGAGTTGCACAATGAGGTTTTAACCTTCCCTTCGTCGTATGATGCAGTGGCAATTCCACCTGCGCGTCAGCATACTATCTCACCGAAAATCTCAGTTAAGCCTGAGGTTGAGCATCTTCAGACTCAATGGGATGTTCAAGTTCAGCCTCCAGAGTCCCCTGAGGAGACTGGACATTTTCTGTCCAAGGACCAGATCCCAGCTCCACCTGCAGATCCTCCTCAGGAGGGCAAACCTTCTTCAGTCCAGCTGGATGACCCTGTTCAACCTCCAGGTCCCCCTGATGATTCCCAACCTTCTCTAGTTGAACAGGATGACCCACCACAGCCTACAGAGCCCAATAAGGAGGAAGAAATTTCTCTAACCCAGCAGCATGACCCAGTGCAGCCTGCAGAGCTCCTTGAGGAGACTGAACATTCAGCAGTTCAACTGGATGACCCAACATCTATTAAGGAGGATGAACCTTCTACAACTCAGCAAGGGAATCCACCTGCACCTCCAGAGCACCCTGTGTCGGTTGAATCTTCCCGACTCCTGCAAGAGGGCGTAGATCAACACCCACATCCCACTGCAGAGGCGGTAGTTCAGCCAGCAGGGCATCATGAAGTGACTATTTCACCTCTAGGCCAAGGTGAAGCTCAATATCCAACATTGCCCAATGTCACAGTTAAACCTCTGGATCTGGAGCTTACCATAACTTCAGAGCCTACTACACTGGTTCAACCTTCTCCAGTCCAGCAGCAGGCCACAACTCAATTTTCAGAGCCTCTCTATGGGGTTGAACCTTTTCCAAGCCAGCTAATGGCCCCAACACAAACTCCAGAGCATCCTACAGAGGATGAACCTTCTCCAGAACAGCAAGAGGCACTATTGCAGCCTCCAGAATCCAATGAAGAGGCTGAACCATCTCCAGCCCTGCAGGAGGGCCTCACTCAGCCTCTGGAGTGTCCTACAGAGGTTGGACCTGCAGTCCAGCAGGAGGACGCAGCAAAGCCTGTACATCCCACTGAAGAGGTCTCCATTCCTTCAGGGCAGCAGACAGCCCCAGCCCAGCTCCAGAGCAACTTGAGGAGTATGAACCTCCTTCATCCACGGAAGAGACCCCACCCAAGACTTCAAAGGCCTCAACGGAGGTTGTAACGCAGCATCCAGGGCATCATGAGGTCATCGTATCACCTCCAGGTCAGAATGAAGCTCAGCATCCAACATCGCCTAATGTCACAGTGAAACCTCTGGATCTGGAACTTAGTATAACATCGCAATCCCCTACAGAGATTGGACCTTTTCCAACCCAGATAGAGACCTCATGCCATCCTCCAGAACCCCCTGAAAAGACTGAACCTCCTCCAGTCCAGCAGGAAGGGCCAGTTCCATCTCTAGAGCCCTTTGAGGAGGTAGAACCTTCTTCAGCCCAGCAGGTGCCCCCACTTCAGTCTCCAGGGCCCTCTGAGGAGGTTGAGCCTTCTCCAGCCCAGGAGACCTCAGGCCAGTCTCCTGTGGCTCCTATGCAGGTAGAACCGTCTCCAACCCAGCAAGATGTCCTGTCTCAGCCTCCAGGGGCCCCTGTGTAGGTCCTATCTTCAACTGAGCAAGATGTCCTATCTGAGTCTCCAGAGCCCCCTGAGGAGAGCCTACATTCAACCCAGCAAGATGTCCTGTCTCAGCCTCCAGGGCCCCCTGTGGAGGTCCTACCTTCAACTGAGCAAGGTGTCCTATGTGAGTCTCCAGAGCCCCCTGAGGAGAGCCTACATTCAACCCAGCAAGATGTCCTATCTGACCCCCAGGGCCCCCTGAGGAGAGCCTACCTTCAACCCAACAAGATGTCCTATCTGAGTCCCCAGAGCCCCCTGAGGAGAGCCTGTCTTCAACCCAGCAAGATGTCCTATCTTGATGCTGCAGCCACTGTTGCTGCCGGTCCAGGTGGCACCTATTTGAAGGCCGGCCCTCGACCTAGTCCAACGGCCTTCTGCCACCTGAGAGACAACTGAGACCCAGTTTTCTCCCTCTCCTGAACACCCACCTCAACCGCCCCATATGCTAATACCCTCTCACAAGCCAAGGGTCTTTGACTATGTGGAGTCCCCCGCTCCAGCACAGATGTTGGCCCCGCCTCAGGATTTCACGGAAACTTTGAGCACAGATTGGCCTCATCAGTTTGCTGCCCCATAACAGGATCCAATTCAGCATCAGAAGATCCCAGTTCTGGTTCCAGCACAAGATTGGGATCAGAATCAGGCAATAGCTGTGCCTCCTCGACTCAAAAATAAGGTTAAAACTCCAGATATGAGTAAAGCTGAACGTCATCAGACTTTTGAAATACTTGTTCCACCTCTAGATAGTCATAGTTCAAAACCGACTACCTTTATTGTTTCACCTCCAAACCTGAAAGAGGATCTAGCTCAGGATCGAGCCCTTGCTAAGGTTGTGGTTGGAACTTCAGGTCAATTGCCAAAAATATCTAACCGAGTAGACCAACCTGGGGATGATTATCTCGACCCTAGTTATGATATAATGTATCCTCCAGACAACCCACCTCTAGAATTCTTAGGGAGCCCAGGTCAGCCTCCTGAGCCCCATGAGGAGGATGAACCTGAACCTACTCTACCTAAGGTAGAAGGCCATGAACCTCCTGAGGAGGAGGCACCTTGTAGGTCGAGGTGAAGCTCGATATCCAACATTGCCCAATGTCACAGTTTAACCTCTGGATCTGGAGCTTATCATAACTTCAGAGCTCACTACACTGGTTCAACTTTCTCCAGTCCAGCAGCAGGCCACAACTCAATTTTCAGAGCCTCTTGATGAGATTGAACCTTTTCCAAGCCAGCTGGTGGCCCCAACTCAAACTCCAGAGCATCCTATAGAGGATGAACCTTCTCCAGAACAGCAAGAACTATCACAGCCTCCAGAATCCATCAAAGAGGCTGAACCATCTCCAGCCCTGCAGGAGGGCCTCACTCAGCCTCTAGAGTCTTCTCTGGAGATTGGACCTGCAGTCTAGCAGTAGGACACTGCAAAGACTGTACATCCCACTGAGGAGGTCTCCATTACTTCAGGCCAGCAGGCAGCCCCAGCCCAGCCTCCAGAGCAAATGAGGAGGATGAACCTCCTTCATCCATGGAAGAGACCCCACCTGAAATTTCAGAGGCTTCAACAGAGGTTGAAACGCAGCATCCAGGGTATCATGAGGTCACAGTTTCACCTCCAGGTCAGAATGAAGCTCAGCATCCAACATCGCCTAATGTTGCAGTGAAACCTCTGGATCTGGAAGTTAGTATAATATCACAATCCCCTACAGAGATTGGACTTTCTCTAACCCAGCTAGAGGCTTCATGCCATCCTCCAGAGCCCCCCGAAAAGACTGAACCTCCTCCAGTCCAGCAGGAAGGGCCAGTTCTATCTTTAGAGCCCTTTGAGGAAGTAGAACCTTCTTCAGCCCAGCATGTGGCCCCATTTCAGTCTCCAGGGCCCCCTGAAGAGGTTGAGCCTTCTCCAGCCAAGGAGACCCCAGGCCAGTCTTCTGAGCCTCCTATGCAGGTGGAACCTTCTCCAACCCAGCAAGATGTCCTGTCTCAGCCTCCAGGGGCCCCTGTCGAGGTCTGACCTTCAACTCAGCAAGGTGCCCTACCTGAGCCCCTAGGTCCCCCTGAGGACAGCCTACCTTCAACCCAGCAAGATGTCCTATCTGAGCCCCCAGGGTCCCCTGAGGAGAGCCTACCTTCAACCCAACAAGATGTCCTATCTGAGCCTCCCCCTGAGGAGGTCCTATCTTCAGTCCAGCAGGAGATCCCAGCTTAGCCTCCAGAGCTCCCTGAGGATGTGGAAACATCTCCAGTCCAGCAGGAGATCCTTGTTCCACCTGCAAAGCCCCTTGAGGACATCCAACCTTCTCTTGTCTAGCAGGTGACTCCTGCTCCACCTCAAGAGCCCCCTGCAAATGTGGAACCATCTTCAGTGCAGCAAGAGGTCCCATCTTATCCTTCAGAACCCCCTTAGGTAAATTGTTGCTGCGGGAGGAGAATAAAGATTCAAAGTCATCTACAGAGTTAGAGACTGGAACTGAACCTCAGGAATTTGACAGCTTATTTTAAGCACATGTCATTCAGGAATACATTTCCATGGTATAATAATTTTTAAAGTGTCACAGAAATACATTGAATAAAATGTGAAAGTCCTCCCTGCCCTTCCCCTTCCCATCGTCCTCCCTATCAATGGTGAGGTAACACTTGTCACCATCTTAGTTTATGTCCTTCCTGCCAGTGTCTTCCCTTTGCACTTATATACATATACATGTTATATAAGTATCATTTTTCCTAATGAGGTTGTACTTCTTGTTCAGTGATTTGCATTTTTTCATTAAGCAGTATGCCTAAGAGTTTTTTCCACGCCAGTAGTACCTCTGATTTCTAATTGCCCTTATCCTTCCAACACCCGGAGAAGTTACAATGGGGGATCCTTAGCCAAGGCTGTGATGTTGCCTGTCATGTATTTTCTTTATACATATTTGCTGATAATGATAAAGGATAACATATCGGACAGATAGGAAGTTCAGGTTCTAAGAGGACAGCCTTATCGTTTGTGCCACTGCTCCCACAGTCTTTGATTATCAATTGAGCCAACTTAGCAGCTGACAGCTGTGGAAGTTAGAAAGTTGATATTTTCTGCTTTTGACTATTCCCCGTAAGGTTGCTACAGCTCTTTATAATTACTCTATTCGTTTCCTGTGTTTCTTCATAGAAATTTGCAAGGAAACTCTATTTCTTATATTGATGAAAATACTTGGGAGCCATACCGTTTTGTTGAGAAACTGTGAGTATATTCTCTCCAAATATCAGTACAGTAAACTAATTGTAGTCTAAGTTCCTTCTTGGTCTAGAATTTATATGTGTGTGTGTGTGTATATATATATATATATATATATATATATATATGTTATGTGCCATCGAGTCAACCCCGACTCATCGTGACCCCTCCTTGAGTTTTTGAGGCAGTATCACTATGGAAGTAGATTGCCCAACCTTCCTTCCGAGCATTGGCTGGTAGATTTGAACCACCAGCCTTATGGCTAGTAGTCAAGTGCCTTAGGCACTATTAGGCTACCAGAGCTCCCTATATATATATAAATTGTGATTTGGGTAAAAATTTACAGAGCAAATTCACTTTCCATACAGCAGTTCACATACACTGTGTCTCATGACACTGACCACAATTCCCTGCAATAAAATAGCTCCCTTCCCACTTAACAGTCACCTCCTCCCTGTGTCCATCACTTCATGCACCCCTGCCCACTGAGCTGTCTCCCTGTGCTATACAGCCCTTCTTTCTCCCATGATTGTTCTCTCCAAGGAGTGTATCTACCTCAGGTAAATGTTCAGCTCCTACAGCTGTCTTTTGCTTGGCTGGAAGCCACAGGTGTGGGTTCAGTTCCAGACCTGAAGGGCAGCTAGAGCTATAGTCTCAGTGGTTCCACCAGGCTCTATCAGACCAGCAAACCTGGTCCCCTTTTTCTTTCTTCTTTTTTTTTTTTCCAAATGATTTTGAGTTTTGTTCCACATTGTTCTCACTCTCTATCCAGGATCTCCTACATAGATCCCCCTCTGAGTGGTTGACAGTGTTAGCCAGGCACCATCTAGTTCTTCTGGTGTCATAGTCACACAGGCTGAGGATCACATGGTGTACCAGTCGCTAGGACTAATTCTTTCCATGAATCTTTGGTTTACTTCATTCTTCTTTGCTCTGGACAAGGAGAGACTCATTGTTGCATCTAGATGGCTGCTTGCAAGCTGTTAAGATCCCAGTCACTACTCTCCAAAGTAGGAGGTGGAATAATGTTTTGTGTAGTATGTTATGCCAGTTGAGCTTGATGTCCCCTACTACTATGGTCCAGAGCCCACAGGTCCAACTACTCGCCCTCTCTGGGTAGCTGGCTGTGACCAAGAAGTGACTACAACCTTGTCCCTTGTCAGCTCTACTATACCCCTGGGAATTCAGATCATACAAATACAGTTATAGGACCATTGTCTGCCGATGCTATACATGGTATTGGGTACACTCCCCACTTCACAGACATACCTAATAGTTCAGCCTGTCTGCCCATCTATCCACCCATATACGCATGTTTGCCTTTACTGACAACACAGTACTGTGTATGCAAAAAGGGTTCATCTTTGTTGTCTGTACCTCCCATGTACCTCTTTATGTCTTTCTCTTCCTCAATGCCACCATGTTGATCACTCACATTTGGTACATTGCCCTTCTCTTCACCCAAATCAATCCTTATCTCTATTTATGTAACAGTGTTCCCATCCCTCCCCTCCCACCCCTGGTAACCAATAAAGAAAATTTCCTTCCATAGATAAACCTTTCCTTGATTTTTACAATAACAGACTAATATAATATTTGTCCTTATGTGATTGACTTATTTCACTCAGCATAATGTCCTCCAAGATCATCCATGTTATGTGGTGTTTTGCAGATTCTACATTATTCTTTAGGGTTGCACAATATTCCATTGTGTGTATGTACCATAGTTTGGTTATCCATTCCTCAGTTGATGGACACCTAGGTTGTTTCCCTGTTTTGGCTATTGTAAATAGTGCTGTGATGAACATGCATGTGCATATGTCCGTTCTTGTCATGGCTCTCACTTCTTTAGGATATATAGCTAGTAATGGAATGGCTGGGTCAAATGGTATTTCTAATTTCAACTTTTGAAGGAATCGCCATACTGCTTTCCACAGTGGTTGTACCATTTGACAGTCCCACCAGCAGTGTATGAGAGTCCCAATCTCTCCACATCCTCACCAGCATTTGTTATTTTCTGACTTGTTGAACTTTGCTACTA